AGGTGGATCATTTTCCAGTTCTGCCTTATCTTGTGCCAGCTTGGCCTTCTGATCTTCAATAAATTTTTCTAAATCATCTGCCATCATGTCTAAGATTACAGAAAAGAGAAAACATTGCATCTACGTCACAGCAGCAGAAACTTAAAGCTCAATTACAGTTGCTTAAGACAGTAGTCAAGTCATGCTCACACATCTCCCTCAAAAATGATCCTTGCTGGGTTACAGGAAAGCCCACCTCAAGAAATACATGCCCTGAGGACAGTACCTGAAGTTTCTCCTGAGAGGAAAATCAGAAACTCCTTACGGTAAATCCTGATATTTCTCTAATCTTTCTTCTAACTTAGCTAAAAGTTTTCTTAAAAACTTAATAATGCTTTGGAAGTCTACCAACTGCCCTTCACTACATATTAACAAAAGCCTATTGCTAGTGAATTATAAAATCAAAGATAAACAACAGAAAAGATAAATAGCAACAATAAAGTAATGATTAGGCAACAAAACTGCAAAATAAACATGTACTCTGAAGTAAGGACCCAATCAAACAGCCATTTAGGTAGTTATATTTTCTATTACAAGAAATCTTTAAAATGATCAAGCCTATTTAAAAAAGAAAATCGTAACACACATGCATCGTGTTTTCCAGAGTTGGAGCCAAAAGCGTGTCGTTACCTTTTCTACCAGTAAATTTGCAGAAGCAATAAGAACAGCTATAATTCTCCAAGAATCATAACTTTGTGGACATTAGGCAGCACTGGCTTATAATCAGCCGAGCCATTTATCTGTAATAAAACATACTACAGGAACCGTTGATCAAATCCCTTTTCCATTAGTTGTATATCTTGCCTATTTAACTGAAAGTTCTTCAGAGCAGAAACTTTTTTTAGCATCATTTGTCCAATTTACTGTACACTGCTGTTTCTAGATAACCTCATAACAAAAGTTAAAGTGAATCTAATTCATAATAATGGAACCATACAGAAGCCTGGCCAAACATTTAGACTTCAGAACATTCTTTGGTAAGATAATCTCATCAAAACTAAAAATATTGCACAACTGCATACTGAAGAAGTAAAGTATGGAAAAAAAAGAAAAAAAAATTGACTACATACAAGCCTACTCCTAATCTCCTCCTTGCCTCAGCTTCTTCACCGATTCCACCAGAGTTTTGCAAAACTAAGCCTACAGATAAGAAGTCCATATGTTATAGTTCACACTTAACAGGAAGCATGAAACTGAGAAGAAAATTACAACCTTCAAATCCCTCTACTACTAACCACACAATTTAAGCAACAGGATTGCTTATACAGGTCTTAAGCAATACCAATTCAGTATCTTTCCAAAGCCTACCGGTTGTACAAAGTAAAGAGCAAGCCAGCGATGACAGCATATTTGACACTTTCAGAAAAAGGACCAAAGAATTAAGAACAAACACACACATGAGGCAGCAGAAGGGCCTCCAAAACTCAGATGCGCAGAATACATTACCCGAATAGCTTACGACAGGATCTGTGACGACCTCACAGGGGACACAATACAAACAAACAAACATACAGCAGAATAAGATACTAAACAGCAAAAACATGACATAACATGTCCAGAGAGAATGAACTAAATACTTACTAGGAAAAGGCAGATGAAGAGATATAACGATGAGATAAAACGTCAGTACTGCAACAGATAAACGAAGTCAACATGCAACGTCATGTGACAGCAAAGACTTGAACTTAAGGAATACATGTACTTTAAATTTTGTTTGATGTATTAAACTTCATAATTTTATATTACTAATCAAAGAATAACATTAATATTCCTACAAAGGAGGTAGAACTAGGACAACCCCTTTACAAGTCCTAGTGGTAATACAGGACAATCAATTCCAAAAATAAATTCCCCCATCTGATTTGTCCTAAATCTTTAATCTCATTAGTTTTGCACAGTGATAAAGTTAAAGGATAAATGAAATCTAAAAGAGCATAAGTTTCTAGGCACTGATAAATTCTGTTTAGGCTACTAAGTTATATAAGGATAATGAATGGATATAACAACTTGTTATACTAAACAACAAGTTGTACTCATCAACTATCTACTGCAGCATACCCACCACGAGGAAAATTAATACAGGGAAGCACTGTGAGAAGCCTCCCCAAAAGTTTGACTGAAACATCCAAAGTTCTGATCTTCACTTAAGCTAATATTTATGAACACTAGAACTATTTTCAATTGAGTGTATCGGAATGGTATTTTGAAAGGCTGTGTAAGGAAAGGAACAGACATTCGTAGTGCATTTTCTACCTAGAATGAGGAACAAAGTGAGCATTCTATTATTCTTCATTTTTACTATACTGCTCAAAAGAGCAACGTAATAAATTTAAAAACAAAGACAAACCACTGATTAAGTTACAGCCAAACTACAGACATTCAACTGATTACCAAGAAAATTCACAACTCCAGGCCTGGGAGCATAAACTCAGCTGACCAACACTGCAGCACTGTTGATTCAGCATACTTTTAATACAGCCAAACGGCAAGGAAATGTGGCCAAATGCCTTTGAGGAAACAGCTATACATGTTATGTCTTATGTCCTTTCCCTCAGAGAGATCTTCTTAGAATATGCATAAGTGCAAACTTTATGAGATAACTGAAAATAGTATGTTATACTGAAAGGCAAGGGGGGAGGGACAAACATTTTTCTTATGTACTATAAGCAAAGCACTGACCACTTGAAGGTGAGGCATTTCAAAAAAATTTCAGCATATAAGCAAATATCTCACTGAATATTAATAAATCAATTTTGTGATCTACCATAGCAAGTGAAGAGACCATGACTAACCACAATATATATACATAAACAATACATTTCTATCCAAAAAAGGAGCTACCACAGTTCCCAGTTGCTAAGTTGGAGCTTACAGCACTGAATTCGCAGTGAACCATTAACTTAAAACTAGCTTCCTAACACTATGCAAACTTACCAAAGTAAAGTTTGCCATTGAAAAACTACTTTAATTCAAAATAGTCCGTTTAGCTTAGCAGACTAGCAATGTGTCTGAATGCACATTGCGCACTGTTCTTCCTTCCAACTCATAGAATATTTTCTAAATGTGATTAAAAACCTTATTTTTGATAGCATATATTAATAAACTTTTAAATCTTTAAATCTTGTATGTATTTGCATAACATTCCAAAAACACTGTATTATACAAAGGGAAATTACATTAAACAGAATTCTGCTAGTTTTTCAATTACTGTCCAAATATGCCCCATAAAAAGAATATTTTATAACATTTTTACTTTTAAACAGATTAACTTTTTATCATTTTTTCCATAAGCTTTTTTTGTTTTGAAACAGGAAACGTTCATAAAAGCAAAAGTCAGGTAGGTAAACTTCACTTTAGTCAAATACACCACCGAACAGAAAACATACAGACACTTACAAAGTCAAGTTTGAACATGAGATTTTTTTTTTTTATAGGATCTGTGCCTAAGCACAGTTGTTAATAATGGATGTCTCCGTACCCAAGATATTCAAAATATCTATTTGTCCATCCATTGTATTGTATGTATTGTATCTTCTTGTGTCTTGCATTATCTACTTTATCACGTAAAGATATGTCTACTGTACTGCTTTCTACTCCCTCCCTTCTCCCCTTATTTATCAAAAAAGGGGGGGAGGCACAAAATTTAAATTCAGCACATGTAAGCGGGCACATTTTGCCTGTTCTATTCTACTGCTAATACTAAAACAGTTCTCAGGAAAATTGGCAAGATGACAATTCCCACCAAGTCCATAGCACTGCAGCAAGGGTCGTGGGGCAGGGAGATGCTTTAAAAAGCAATTTTACGCCATGCTTAGTTATTGTACTTAGAGATTATATGGCCACACAATTGTTTCATTAAGAACTATTTTTCAAAGTTTCAGCCGTACTTGCTAAATTTTCAGGACCGTCAGTACTGGCTGCTTCTCTAGCCCCTTGACTGACACTCAGAAGAACCTCCTGCCATCAGAAACACGCTGCCTGCACCTTCTCCCTCCATTTCTTTTCAATTCTTATCTGACAAAAATATTTTAAAAATCCAGCCAGCGCCTGGTCGCTTGCAATTAATAAATTCGGACTAAAACCAACGCGGCTTGTCAGGAACAGCGAAAGCAATTCAGTACCGAAAGGAACACGGAGGGTTGTCCCCCTCCCTCCACAGGTTTAGCCGTCCTTCCTCGAACCCGTACGCTGGTCCGGGAAGAAATTAACCGCAGAAAACCTTCAGGGCCAGGAAGCCGGACGTATCACTTCAACCTCGGCAGCCAGGGGAAACGCCGGCCCACCTCCCC